CTTCCCCTGGCTGCTGGCACTGGTTTTCCTCCGGCACCCAGGACCCAGGCCTTCACTCTGGCCGCAGCAGAGAAGCCAAGCCTCTTCAGTCTTCAGTCATCTTCAGTCTTCAGTCGTCTTCAGTCTTCAGTCGTCTTCAGTCTTCAGTCTTCCCTCAGGCCAGAGCCTTCAGTTTTGGCTCCGAGCCTGCATATGCAAATTAACCACCATCTTTGTTGGGTTAATTTGCATATCCATCCTGATTGGCTGGTGGGTGTAGCGGAGTGACACCAATTTGCATGTTTCTTTTTTATTAGTGAGATATGAAGCTCATTATTTTAAAAAACATACAAAGTAATCAGGGTTAGAAATTCATGGCTAGCACTTGGGTTACATCAGGAGAAAAGATATTTACTTTTTGTTGGAAAACCATAGAATGGTTCTCTGACTTCTCTTAAAATTGTATTAGAATTCTTTCAAGAGGGGTGGGAAGGAAAGGGCATTTACTTTATTATTTTATGTCTGAGCAGATATTCCATGAAATATCAAATGTCTTACTTATTCCTTTGGGTACATGAATGTATAGATTCCCTGACATACTACACAAGCTAGGGAAAAAAAGAACAATTACTAGCAGAATTTTCTAAAGTAAAAGCAGAAGCTGAAGTTAAGCAATCACATAAACTTTGAGTAATTATATCACAATGCGCCATTAGATTTACATAGGAAAAATGTTGCTCTGCTTTCAGCTGACAAAAGAGCAGTTGAGAAGCGATCATGTAGCTCTGAAAAGTAGAAACTCTAGGGAAGGGTCAGCATTCTAAAGGCAGGGAGGCAGATGACTCGCTGTTTTCACATTTGGGTAAAGATGAGGGGGACTAAGATTATAACCCAAAGAAGTCATGACAAAAGAGTAGAATGAAGTGTTAATAATGACACAGTAAGCTTGGACAGAAAGAGCAGGAAAGAGAGAAAAGTAATTTCATTCAGATAGGAAATAATTTGTAGAGAAATTTTAGTAAATAACAATTTGTATTTCAATTTGCAATAGCCAACAGATGACAATATTTGAAGACTGACAGTCCTATTGCTTTATAAATATATATACATTGAGTGGCCAGATTATTATGACCACCCCATCAGTACTTCATTGGGCCACCTTTTGCCTTCAATACTGCGGCGATTTCTTCTTGGCATTGACTCCACAAGATTTTGAAAGGTGATGCGAGGAATCTGACACCATGCCTGATAAATAGCACTGTCCAGTTCTGTGAGAACTGATGGCTGATGGCTCTTTTAATTTCGTCCCACAAATGCTCAATTGGATTGAGATCTGGTGATTGTGGGGGCCACCTAAGCAAGGTAAAGTCTCCCTCATGTTCTTGAAACCACTCCTGCACAATACGAGCACTGTGGCATGGAGCATTGTCTTCTTGGAAGAAGCCATCTCCATTGGGATAGGGTTCCTCTAGGGCTATAAATATATTTTTAATGATTTCAGAGAGAAGGGAGAGGGAGAGAGATAGAAACATCAATGATGAGAGAGAATCATTGATCAGCTGCCTCCTGCACGCCCCTTAATAAGGATCAAGCCCACAATCCGGGCATGTGCCACGGCTGAGAATCCTGGTTCAACAGGTCAACCCCCAACCACTGAGCAACGCTGGCCAGGCAGTTTTAATATTTTATACATATGTAAGAAACTCAATTTATTTGAAAGATAAATTAGTACAAGTTTCTATTAATATGATAGTTGTCAGTCAGGGGTTTGTTTTTTATTAACCTGTTATAATTCTAAAAATACTTTTAATATTTCAAATTGTAAGCAATTAAAATATTAAATTGCTTGATTTTATATGTGAGGATAACCAGGAAGCCTGATTTAGTTACAAATTGGTCCTATTTTGGCTGGTGTCCTTTAATGACAGGCTCCTAAATTGACCAAGAAAATGTAAATATAGAAAGCTGTAGAACCAACATTCCTTAATTAGGAATTATGCTAGTAGTTTAACATTAAAAACATTTTTTTAAAAAGCTACACATAGTATAAATTTTGCAGAGTTTTAACTTCTTTTATTTAAACTGCATTGATCCATTTATAGCTCTCCTAACAACCACTTTATAGGTTGGTAATCCTATGTCCTGGATTTTCCAGGTCACTTCAGATTTCAAATATTTTGTCTATTGTCAAATGATGTGCCTGGGGTTTGGTTTGGAAAATGTGGTCACTGAATGTATAGACTAACTCTGAAATAGCAATGGCCTTTGGTATTATCTAGTAATTCTGTTTCTGGGTCATGACTATCACATTAAATCAAATCAAAGTTCATTATTTAAGTCTATCTAATAAACTATCAAAATAATAAGGACATTTTATAACTTGCAGTAATTTGCTATTTGAAAAGCATTCATAATATGATTTATTATGCACATACACAGCTAGTAAACCTAAAAATGGCTATTCCCCTTGCCATATAGGAAATGAAAAATCACATATTTAAGAGGTTTTGTTATCACATGGCCCAAACGAAGAAAGACAAACATAATTGAAACGTGCATGTGCTAATTTTTTTAAAGGGGGGTTTGGTGGTCTTTCTTATTTTTAATTTCCATAGACTGGAACTCATATTCTTGATAAAGCAGAGTTGAGAGGGTGTACTGGCATTTGCTATGTCTATGACGGTAATTATCTAAGATTGACTCATTATCCTGTGCCAAAACTTTGCTCTTCTGCAAATAAAAACATTTAGATTATTTGATGGCCTTCTTCCCTATTAATTACTATCCTTTATTGCATTATAACATTTGTTTATGGCTCTGCTCTTTATTCATTCGTGATTCAGATAACCACTAAGCGGGAAAAAATTGCTTTTAACTCTCCTCTGTCCAGAATAGCATTAACTCTTGAAAATTAAGGTGATTTTTTTCTAAGTATTGTTAGAAATAATCTATCACTAGCGATCAGGTTTTCCTCCCACATATCCGTGCTAGTTGGGACTAGAGAAGCCCAGGGATGCAGCGGCAATGGAGGTGCGAGTGGGAGACAAGATAGCACCCGCTTGACACTTCGGCACTGTTGCCATGAATGAGTCACTCGCTTTTGGCACCTGTGTGCCAAAGGAAATCTCTGCCTCTTCCCCCTCCAAGCTCCTCTCGGGCTGTCTCCTGTGCTTTGGCCTTTAAGGAAAAGCGAGAACAGGTGGGCACAGAGGAGCTGGTGGAATCCTCCTCCCCTGCTTCTTCCCTAATTTAGCAGTACTTCCGGCCGCGTGACATCATCCCCCGCACACCGGTGACGTAAGCGGCGGGTGACGTGTGTGCGGAGAAGAGCGCGCTGACGTTGCTATTTAAAGGTCCTCCTGCGGGGAGGATGGAGACAGGGCGCGAGCACCCGGTGTGGGGTGCAGAGAAAGGGGCTGTGGAAGCAGGGAGCGGGGCCAGGAGCCAGCGCTGGAGCAGGGCGCACGGCCCGCCAGCCGCCGGCCGCTAGGGGAGGGGGGAAGGAAGGACGGACGGACGGACTGACGGACTCGCTGACCGGACTAGCTCCCCACGCGGGCCGGCTCGGTGCCGCCAGCCTCCCCGCCGCCCTCGCGGCTGCAGCCTCCTCCCGCGGCACGCCGGGCCCCGCCGGGCCCTCGGGACGTGTCAGCGCCCCAACCCCGGCGTCCGCCGCGGCAGCCGCCGGCCTCCCCCCGCGAGCAGGGGGAGGGACCGCTCTGGCCCCCGTTCTCCCCGCCCAGCTGCCCGCTCCCCCCGCCGCAGCCAGCTCTGCCACCGCGCTGGGCTCACGCGGCGGCGCTGACCTGGGAAGGGGCGCCCTCCGCTCGGCGAGCGTCCGGTGAAGGCGGAGGCGGCGGCGGCTCCAGGGCCGCCTGGGTCGGCGCTGCCTGCTGAGCGGGCGCTGGAGGCCGGCGGTGCTGGGAGTGTGCGGAGGCGGCGGGGCCGCGGACGGAGCGACGCGTGGCGGCGGAGCGGAGCGTGAGAGGCTGGGAGCAGGGGTGGGGGCGCTGGAGCCGCGGCTCTCCGGCGGCTTCGAGTCCCGCTCCCCGCCCCCCGACGCGGAATTAGCCGCCCGCCTGGACTCGGGCGGGCGCCCGTGGACCCTTCAGCTCAGTCCACCACCGCTCGGCCCGCCCTGGCGCTGGGGGCCGGGTACCTGGGCGGCGTGGGGCTAGGGCTAGGCTCTCTGATTCATTCATTCTCCGCCGACGGGAGCCTCGGACCTGCTGTGCTCGGGAGAGGAGGGCAGAGTGGGCAGCCGCGAATGAAGGGCCGGGCGGAAGCCGGGCTCCATTGTGCTCGGCGGCGGGGGGCGGGAAGGGGCTGAGGGAGGTGGGATCGGCCCCCTCCCCCTGCTCTCCGGCACCCGCTGCGCCCCCAGCCTGCTGCCCGCCTGGAAATGGCTCCGTTTATTCTCGGGAGAATGAATCGATCCTGCCCAGCCTTCTCTGCCTCCTCCCCGCCTCTTCTCGGCTCCGAGTCTTAGGAGGGAGAAAAAAATATATAAAAGACAGATTCCAATGAGGAGTGTTGTGCACGTCGCGAGCTGCCGGGTTTGCACCTCGAGGAGATTTTTCTATATATATAGCCTTTTTCTAATGTGAGTGCAGGGAAGCAGTGGCATTGCTGCTTTTAGGATTTTTATTTTCTCGTAGGGCTCTCTATAAAGTGCACGTCGCATTGGGTTGCACGCTCCACCCCCCGGGACCTGGGGTGGTGGAGAAATTTGAACCCGCAGCCTTAGTAGCACCGAAAAGACCGAGTTACCTGCCTCTCCGAGAGTGGCGGAGGACCCGAGCGAAATGACCACCCAAGTCATTTTTCCTAGGACTCTGTGAAGCTGGATTCTGCGTTTTCCAACACGTAGACTCATTTTGTGGAATAGAGTTGACCGCTGTCTCCTCCGCGCAGCATTTTAACTCTAATAAGCAAATGCCACCTCTGTGTGCACGTTTTGGTATTTCTGAGAGAGAAATCATTTTATACAAGGGAACTAACTGAATTGTCAGCATTACTGAAATACCTCCAGAAAAGGACCTCGGGGGGTGGAAAAGCAACTGCGAAATAGCAGACGGAGAAATTCCTCTGGAAGTTATTCCGTAGCCTAAGAGCAGAAACTTCAGAGCAAGTTTTCATTGGGCAAAATGGGGTAAGGATTTTTGTGTTTAACACAGCTTTGAACGTGTGTGTGTGTGTGTGTGTGTGTGTGTGAGAGAGAGAGAGAGAGAGAGAGAGAGATTGAGCTGTGGTGGCGATTGTCTGTGTTTCATGTTTTCAAACAAATTTGCCACCTTGCTAAACTGGCCATACTTTAAAAATATAGGTGTGTGAACCTTTTAACAAGATTTTTTTGTTTCTTTGTACAGTGACACCTGAGGTCATAATTAAGAAACATACGTTAATAATATTTAAGAAGACAACACACACTGCACTTTACTGGTCAAACTGCCACATCAGTTTGTAATCAAAATCATGTCTTGGGTTTTGTTGCCGTTATCTTTCAGGGAAGTACGGTACTGCATTCTCCCAGTACTTTGAGAATAATCAGTTGCACAAAGAAACAATTGTAATGAGTGGTTAGACTACAGTCCTTGAAAATGATCCAATGTAAATTGTTACCCACACTGTGCCCTCTGCTTTGCCCTTGAGTACCCAAAGTTAAAAGGTACAGAATTGATTTATTGGAGCATTGAAATGAAAATCCGAAAGCCTTACTGATGGGGTCTCCACGGTGCCAATGCACTTGGTAAGAGATCAGAGCTTGAATAGAAAAGAGCTTTTTAGTGAAGGAACTTGTTCATTTCTTCTGTTGTTTGCTTTTAAGCTCAAGTCTTCAGTTTGTGTTGACAATGTCAGATCACCTTCTTTCAGATCCAAAGTCAACTAAGAGTGCATTTTCCAACCTTTTATTAACTCTTCATGCAGTAAATTGATAAAATGCTAGTGATTTCCTAATTTAAGCCAGAAACCCATTAAGTATTAATGGAATAATGATCTAAGCATTTCATTCACAGATTGTTGATGCTGTTTGTCAAAGAGAAACTTCTAGAATTTTCTCCCTCTCTCTCTCTTTTTTTTTTGTGGTGGTTGAACAAACATCTAAAATGTACTCAGGGGACAGCAATCAAAAGGATATACTTTGAAATTCATTGTGACATTTTAGGGATGTGCACACCTAAACTTACTTTCTTGAAACTTTTGGAGGAAAGTTCTTAGATACTACCTTTTTTGTTGGAGTTAGAATTTGAAGTGTATTAACTTGAACAAGTTTGAAAATGTAGAACATATATTGTAGGAGTCCTTCTTCAGGAATTAATGAGAAAGAGTGATCATTTTAAAATTTAAATGACAGTGGATGAGAACATATTTAACTTGCATGATTTAGAGCAATTAAAATACCTGATTCTATTTCTAGTGCTTTGTGATCTGAGGCAAATTACTTAACCTGTATGAACTGTTTTCTAATCTGTAAAATGAAGATCTTCGATGAGTTTTTAAAAAATGTGTAGTCTATGAAAGTGAATTTTTTTTCCTTTCTGTTTTGATGATTACTAGTTGGTTTCTTAAAGTAAATCTTTCAGATGGAGAGATTGTTTTCTCTAAGCAATTTTTAAGTATGTAAATAATGACATTTGAAAAATGTTTTGGATGAATTGCACCAATTTTAATAAGAGAAAATACTGAAAAATACTACTTAAAACCTTGGAAATATGGCTTCTCTTGATATTCTACACTTTTCTGTTTAAAACATGTGAGAGGAAAAAATAATCAAGGGGCATTTTTTCATGTTGAAGACTGCATTCTCTCTAGAATAGATGGTGGAGTAGTAGCATCATGGGAGAAAGTCATTTAATCTGCATCAGTGCTCTTCATTTTACCAAGGGAAGGTTGGTATGAACTTAATACTAAGGGGACTAGTGTTTAATATGTGAAAATAAGCCCCCACACATAGCATACACTTTAGATACTTCAATGTAATTAAATTTGTTTATGAACTTACTTATTTGTCCTTTTCTTAATAAAATCTTAAAGGTGGACTGGAGAGGAAAAGGAATATTTATGTCATTATTTTTCTGAAAGTCTATATTTGGGTCTATTACTCTTTCTTACTAATACACTTACTTAAGCAGAGTTGTCAAGAGAAGATGGATAAGTGAAAGTAGAAGAACATACAGAGAAGGCATTTGTAGAAGTTCCTATACTTGGTAGGTGTTCATACCTAATAAGTGTAGAATAAGCACAGTCTTCAGCACCTATTTAAAGCAAAAGGAAACAGAACTTTACATGGTTCTTTAAGTTTTACCCAGGCAATCCTGAATTACCTTTCTCTAACAGATATCTAAAATTTAATATAATGGGTGAAGTTTCACATTTTATGAATATATTTTTGTTAGGTTATAATAATAATTTATCTTTGCCTTAATTATGGATAAAATTGCAAGTCTGGGGCAAACTTTAAGCAAAAGGAATTATTTTTAAAGAAAATGATTAGTTAGGGCAGAAACAAACATGGCTCATGTAATAGTAGTTTATGAACTATGGTGGAAACAGAAAAGAACAGCTGAAACTGACAGTTGGCAGAGTCTGTCAAAGTATCTTGGATGCTGCCTGCACTGTTTTCAATTACACTGAAGGCACTTGAAGTAGTGGCTTGTGAAATAGGTGTACCAGACCTCCCAGAATCACAGCATTCATGTATGGAAGATAAAGCCTACAAAAAGCTTCGAAGCCTGGGTGAGGAGCCCCTGTTAGGTATGACCCCGGTCTTCCAAGTAGTCTCATAATGAGAGCGGTGAGTCAGTAGCTATTTCAGAACTATTACAGTAGGTAACAGAAACCAAGTAACTTCAATGAGTTACTTCATGCTACCTTTTGTTTTGCTTAGCTCATATTGGCGATTTAGTGCCATCAATGTGGGAATAGAGAATTCTCCCTCTCCCACCCTCCACTAAGAGTTATTTATAAAACCTGATTCTCCCTGCTAAGGAGGTCTGATAATGCTGTTTCTGATTTGTCTCACCTGCCTGTGAGAACCTCTGGAAACCCTCTTGCCCGCCTTTCCCTAGATAACCTCCTGAAGCATGGAAGTGGGTGCTGCTGCATTGCAACCTGAACTGAGTTCCTTTGCTGAGCGAGGAAGCTGACACCTCCTCTTTCTGCCTGAGGCTACTGGGTGCTGCTCTTTGGGAGCTATTGTAGCAAAAATGAGGAAACCTTGATCCAGCGCTGCAATATGAACATGCGTTGTTGCAAAGGCAATCATTTCTAACATTGGAGAAGTTAGATGCAAGTCCCTAATTTTTTATTTGTTCATTTTGCCAATTTTGAACCCCTATCCTATGGCATGTACAGTGGCTCAGTGCTGCTGATACAGAGACTAGTAAAATGTATTCCTTCCCTCAGAGAGTCTATAGTTTAGAAGTTGGGAAGGCAGTCAAGCCTAAAATTAAAAAGGACAGTGAAATGTCTAAGAGGCTATAATATAGGTTATAATTCCTCATAGAGGTACAAAGTGTATGTGTCATTAGCTGCCAAGGGAAAGATAACGTGTTTGTGGAAGAGGTAACATGTAGTAAATAATGAAAGATGTGTACAGGGGGCCTTATAGACAAATGAGAGGGCATTCAAGGCAGAGGGAATAGTGTGATTGACTGCACTAAGACACGGTGCTACAAAAGTTTGGCATGGTGAACTTGGCTTTTTAGGGTGTAGCAAGAGCTAGACTTAGAGCCTTATGCAGGGGCCAGGTTAGAGGGCCTTCTAGACCAAACAAAAGCAGGTATTTTTCAAGCTTTTTGGGGCAATGGTCCAATATAGTAAGATACACAGTTTTATCTCAAAATCTAGTGCACACATATAGAAATGATAAAATGTTGTGAAATAATACACTTTGTGTGATGCATTCTGGTATTTTTTCTATTTTTAAGAAAAAAATGACATTTGGGACTCAATAAATTGATGGTAGCAACTGGTAATTTGAAAACACTGCTCTTGGCTTTGGGAACTCCACTAAAGAGTTTTAGAGTAGTTCCATGAAGGGTCAGGGAAATAAGGTGAGAAAAGTTTTAAAAACCATTTAGAATTTGGTTTTATATGTTGTGTCCTGTGGAAAGACCAAGCCAGAGCAATGGACCCTGGCTAGAAAGGGGAAGTGGATAGCTGGGCAGGCCCTGGAAAATTCCATGGTAGAGGGAAGGAAGGATGGTGATGAATTGTGTGTGGTTGTCTGAACAGTACGTTTTTAGGATTAGGGCATTTATTGCTCAGAGGTAAAAATGTAGGACATGGCATGGTATGTTCCTACCAGAGCTGCTTACTCAGATGGGCAATGAGACAGTGAATTTGGGACTTTAAAGGACTTTCAAGTCCTTTAAAAGGGATTTTCTAGCTCGCATACAAACACATGGAAAGTAAGAGTGAGGATATTTAAAAAATTCTACCAAGCAAGTAATTAAAGGGTACTTGGAGATGCCAGTAATATTTGCCTTGTAAGCTGAAATGTTATTTGTCCTGTGACTAACATCCTATATAATAAAACCCTAATATGCAAATCAACTGAACTGTGGAACGAAGAGTTGCTATGATGAGCACTGACCCCCAGGGGCAGACGCTCAACCCAGGAGCTGCCCCCTGGTGGTCAGTGCACTCCCACAGCGGAGCACCGTCAGCCAGAAGCTGGGCTCACTGCTGGTGAGCACAGTGGCAGTGGCGGGAGCCTCTCCTGCCTCCACCGCAGCGCTAAGGACACCTCGAGGGGATGTCTGCCTGCCGGCTTAGGCCTGCTCCCCATGTTCTGGGGAGAAGGCACAGGCTGGGCTGAGGGACCCTGCCCTCCAGTGCATGAATGTAGTGCACTGGGCCTCTAGTAGAATTATAATTTTATATCTATCAGCATATATCAGGAAGATATCAACCATAAGAAGAGTAGAAGAGTTTGCATATTTTGAGAATAGGCCCCCCATTTTATTGAAATATGATTGATATAGCATTATATTACCTTAAGGTACACAACAGTAATGATTTGACATATGTATATATTGTGAAGTAATTACCATAGTAAGTCTAATTAACATTCATCACCTTACACAGTGACAGTTTTTTGTGTGATGAGAACTTTCATGAGAATAGGTTTATTTTTGAATATGTTAA